AATTCGCAACTCTTATGCAACGCACAGTATCCACCACAGTCGTACGTATGCCCTGTCTACCAAAAGAACCCTCAGCATGTCTGGGTTGCAGCATGCGGCGCAGGACTATGGCACCTACTAAGCTTACGAATTTGCTGATACGGCCTTCTCAACAGCTATGGACCACCACAACAAGGCTATTACAATGGTCCTCCTCAGCAGGGATATAATCAGGGTTCACCGGTATGAAGACTTCCATCAGGTTCTGCAACACTTCATCGTCAGAGCCTTTACGCACGACTTTCAATTGTTCTCAGTCAAAGAGGCTAACCAAGTCACCGTCCTGCCAGATGCAATACGGCTCACCGCAGCAACAGTATCAGCCGCCCAAGGAGAAGAAAAGTGGCGGTAATGGTTGCTTCAAAGCTTGGTATGTAGGCCCAAACCTTACGGTACTCTTCTGGTTCATGAACTCTACGAGTCTGCTGTCTGTTCAGTTCGACCGATCACTAATTCAACTTACTTCAAACAGTCTGGCCACCCTCTGCTGTTGCTTTCTCTGTGAAGAGGGATGTGAATGCGCCGAGGATTGTTGCTAAATTCATACGCCAAACCCCTATCCCGTCCGAGCGCCCAAACCTGCATTACCCCTGATCGTGGGGCTTGGCGGACGGTATGGAGATTGGGCTTAGAGCTATATAAGAACCCCTATGCGAGACTGTTGTCAGCAGGAATTCCAACGTTGCTTTCCATCAAAAGAGAGGGAAGGTCTCATCGACAAGAACTAAAAAAGATGTGCAGACCATCCAAACAACCATTTGTCCCACATAATGCGCTTAAGCGTGACCTCGCCAGCCTTTGGGTGCACTGTACAATACATCCACGCTAAATCTAGTACTTGACCTACTTGTCAGACTATATGAGCGCTCGTAGGCCAGTTTTTCTACGCGTAATCCCTGCATTTCGCCTGCTTTTGGTTGGTCAATTTCTACTACAATTTCGCGGCTAGTTTCGCTGTACCGTGTGGCGAATTTGTACGTATGTCTTCGCATGCTGCCCGTACTTTAGATAGAACAACTTGCTTTCTGCACTCTCCGCAGAAGGTCGCACACCTATGCTGTGCATGGTTACTGGTAATTCTAGCTAACTCAATGACTCTCTTCCTTCCGATTTCAGATCTGGTTTTTCTCTCTCTCTCGCTCTCTCTCTCTCTTTCTTAATCGAGCTGGGGTGCACTCGTTGTTCAAGCACCAACCAGCCCTTTTTCCCCCTCCCCAAGTAACCTCATTCCTCCCTCTCTCCCTCTCCTTCACAACCAATTAGTTCTAAATCGTCCGAGTCACCATCCACCAAGACAAATCACACATACACATCTCTATTACTACCACCATTGGGAGTTACACAACCTCCCCTCTCCGATCCCCGGTACAATTACTGAAAATTCGCATAAAAAGAAGCCCCTCGCTCCTTATGCTTATGCATACGTAAAATCAATTCGTAACCAAACCACCAACTAACTTAGTAGCACCCCGACCTAATTGAAGCTCAGGCCGGAAAAAAGATGAAGGATGAGGGGTAGAAAATATTTGCAAGATGGTAGTACTATAGGACTTACCCAGGGTAAGGGGAGTACTGGTTAGCGGTTTCGTCTTTCCTTCCCTACATTCTTTCCTTCCTTCCTCCCTTTCGGGTTATTTTCCATGGGATTCTGCCAGCGCTGAAGTGCACCGTGCGGCTTTTGCGGGGATGGAAGATGGAAGGTGTGTGCGGTGACGGGTTAGTTGGGGAAACAAATGAGAGAGTACTCACTAACTTGCTACTGATGAGACGGACGACCTTTGCTGGATTTCCGGGAATTTGTTCCGCGGATATGGATTGTTCGGGGGGGATGATTAGGCGGATATGGGTTGCTGCTCACTGTGCATAGAGAGGAGAAGGAGAAGAAGAAGAATCAGAACCGTCGTGGTGGTGGGTGAACGGTCGGGATACCAACATCCTCACACCCGAATCTTGACCTCTCTCAACTCCATTTCAACTTCAATACCTGAGCACACGTGACTACAACCTGAGCGGTGAATAAGCAGCCATGAGCTGTGGCTATGCAGGGAGCGTGTATGACGTCTGGCGGCTGGACGCTGACAGGCAAGTTCTCGAATGATTCGTGTCTTAAAAAAAGCTCGCATTGGCACTGGTGGCTGGGTCGATCAACATAGAAACAGTTCACATATTGCTCAGCTAGCGTAAAGACTTGCTGCACATTGAAAATGATAGTCGCATCATCGGCAGACTGGGGAATGTGATCAATCCAAGCCCCTAAGCTTGGCCGGTATTTAACTTCGATGCCACCGCGTAAAGCTGGCATGGTTGATCTGCGGCGAAGAGGACCTTGTGGACTGATCATGATGTTTTCTTCGTTTACCACAGCTAATCCCCAGTTTCGAACGTGACGCACCGCTCTTCACCAGATTATCCGGATGTCTAGGCGGCATCGCTGGAGCGTTGTTTGTTCGCGGGGAGCCTTGAACAGCTAAATGTGTTTCCAAAGACTGGATAGGCTTCCTGTGTATCTTATATTTTGGATCCAGCGTCTGGAGGTCCTTGGAAGGTTGTGAGAGAGCAAGACTTCCTATACGGGACCAAGTCTTCATGTTTGGCGGACGTTGCTGACTGTCTCACCGTGATGCCATACAGTGTTCTTTGCGTGAAGAGACTCGAGTGCATCATCCTCTTTACGTCGCCTGAAGAAATTGCGCGTACTGTTATTTAGCCGGAATGACAGTGTCCATCAGGGCGGTATCGTATGAGTAGCAAGATATGAACAGAAACATGGCGTCTTTTGCTGAATTGGTCCAGACTCCTCAAAAGCCCCCAGTGAAGGCGTTTTCGCTTGCATGCAACAGCGCAGCTGAATGCAAACCATCAAAGCACGGTCAGGCTGAATTGTGATGGCAAGGTCATTGACCAACGGACGTGCTCCACAGTAAGCGAAAGACCAAATCTCTGGAGCAGGGGTGTGGATTGGGCATGCATTAGTGGCGAACAGCCTCAATCAGCGTTTAAGCTACGTTAGGCGTCAATAACCCCAGGGCCAAAAGCCCTCCATCGGTCCTCCGGTCCTTCCTCGTCCTCTAAACCGGCGAGCACGATGCACACCACCAGTGCTTCGATGCTGTGCTTGCCCCCTTGGCTGACACTGCCAGGCATCATGTTCACGCCGCAGTGTCATGCTGCGCACTTTCCACACTTTTGGTACAGCGATGAATGGTAAACGCTTTTCAACCTCGTGGAGTTATCCCTTCTGGTCAGCACAGTAATGGAGAGCCCATCGTGGATGACTACTGTCGTTGTCGGCATCGACTTTGGCATGAGAACACTGCTGTGGCATATTCGACAGCTCCAGAATGGGCTTGACCCATCTGTGTACAACACTGGCCTGGAAAGCACCACAGCAGCCAATTAGCTAATAAGGTCGCTACCCAGGTTGGGTACGATGCCAACAAGAGGTTGGTTAGCTAGGGACTCCAGGGCGGCTGGGAAGACGTCCCGACTACTATTGAGCAGGATTTCAAGCTGTACCTCAACCCGGCCTTTCGTGATACTTTTCCTAACCTGCCTGCCCACGATCGAGTTGTCAGGTGATACAAGGATTACATAGCATCCTTATACAAATAGCTCGATTCCTTTTTTGACCAAGCAATACTGAATTAGACTCAGAGGAGCGTTGAATTTCTATTCAGTATACCTACTACTTAGGCTAACCCTCATCTAACCTCCAAGCTTGATGAGTGGCTCAGCGAAGTCGGCTTTGCCAACTACTACAATCGCAAGATCAGGATTTCTCAGACAGAGGCCGAAGCAGCAGCGGTATACGCGGCAAAGCAGAGCTTTACCACTGGCAATATCATTATAGTTGTCGATGTTAGTGGGTGCATAACCGACATCAACATTCTTGAGATCAACAAGCATAGTTCCGAAAGAACACAGCTGGTAGCACTCAACAAAGCCGAAGGTGTCAACGTTGGCTCGATCTTGATCGACGGTGAGGCAGAGCAATTGGTCAAGCAGCGACTGCATGCTTTGAATGTTAGCGGAAACGACGATGACATCCACTGGCTCGCAAAAGACATGTTGAAGGAGGTCAACTTCGAGGCAATGAAGTGCGCCTTCGATGGATCACCCACGCAAATAAGCACGATCATGACAATACCTCCAGAAGGGCTTCCTGCGGCACGACAAGGCGTTCCTCAGAAAATTAAGATCACAGCGGCAGAGCTACGAACATTCTTTGACAGACAGATACAGATTATGTTCGAAAGCATTCATCACCAGATACGCGAACTGATCAGAGAAAAGCCCAATGTGACAGTGAATTTCATTGTGCTCTCTGGTGGGCTCGGCTCTTCTGGATATGTCCGGAGTTGCTTGGAGGCGGAGTTCAACAATAGCAAAGTGCTTTGTGCGTTTGAGCCACAGCTCGCTGTTGCCAAAGGCCTTATCATGGATCGAACACAGGCTCTGAGTCGAGGGGTCGTCACATATGGCGTCTTGAACAGGGGGCTTTGTGACAATGGGGTACTATCAGGCTCCTGCATGACATTCCCGCCATATGAAGCATAGCATAGTTAGAGTAGTGCCCGTAGGGCGCCCTTTGGGCATGTTAATTCCAACACACTTCACTCACATATACTGAACCCGTTTTATGTTCGTCTTTTGCACGTCAGCCTATAACATGCCTGATAATCTGCTAGCTTTGATTTTGCTTTGACGACAAATTCACCTGGTCTGTAATGATTAAAGCAAGTTGAGCACCAAAGCTGACCCCTACAGCCCTCCGACCGCCGTAGAGCGACTGATGCCAACTCTGCATCAACTGACAATCCCTACGTCATCTAGGCCTCGCTGGGACGGGCCTTGAATAAGTCTATAAACACATAACTGAATACTATATTATATCTCTTCTTAATATAGATTGATTTTAACAACGACAATATCTCTATACTGTCCTAATGTTATGCGCGCCAAGCATGCTAGGCGCGTGCCCTGCGCACGGTATAAGGGCCAGGAGGACTCTAGTGGATTTTGCATCATTCTACACATCTTCTTCATTATACTGCGCATCAAAGGGCGCAAGAGGATATCCTACTAGTACTTATATCCTTCTTCTTGTAAATGGATTGTAGTTATCTGCACTCAATAAGTCGATTCATTGAACCCCTACTGTTCTATTGCCCTTGCACTCACCTGGGATCCTAACACTTAAGACTGTCTTTAAAATACTACCCTATACCCTGTGTCACTGAATGGCTGTAATTCCTTATTCGAAATAGTATTCCCGCGGTTTAGTATACTAACTAATCCTTGGCAAGAGGAACATCAGAATTTCATCTTTTGAATGAGGGATCCACCCATTGGGCCACGGCTAGTGGGCTTTGGTACCATGATGATGATTGAACCCCGTCCGCCAAGCATTTTTTGTCTGGTCAAGAAAGGAACACACCACTTAAGTTACGGAGTAGACAGGATGTAAACCCTAGGTTCATTACAGTGTCTCACTCTTAAAAAGTCTCATAGGAATTCGAGGGTTAGATTTCAGATAGATTGAAGCCTTTGTTTGAGCTCAAAGATGCCGTGACAAGTTGAACGAACGTAACATCTACAGGAAAAGTTCTTTTCCAATAAGCGATTCTGTACCAAAGTCAGCGTTCCCTACCGTTAAGTCCATTTGCAGTCCACATAACCGCTCCCCACAATTCTTCCGATATCTTGCCTTGTCGCATATCTGTGTGAAGCTTTTTGGTGCCATATGCTTAGCAGAGGCATATGCAAAAAGCACTTAGCTGCCTACAGGTCAGAGAGTTATTCCTTTGCTTCAGCTTCAAGTTCAACATTAACCTCACCCCCCTCCTCATACTTCTGGTTGGCTAAGAGAGACGGATAGTCAGATTGCCGAATGCCAAGAACCGAGACTGTCATGATCAGTAGATGAAGAGGACTCGAAGACCTATCCCACACTGGAAACTTGGCGAGTGCCCCATACTTCTTCTCTTCAAAGTGTTTACAGGCCGTCTTGAATGTTCCCTTGGGCATGTAGAGAGATAGTATGCGCTTTGCCTTCAGCATCGGTAAAGTTCATCTTATCGGGTGCGACAGCCTTGGTACGGTTGAAACCGTCCCTAGTAGGCAGATGGTGTCGCTTTTGTCGGTAGCACGGCTTCGGGCCATCATGCACCCTAGCGTCATTTGCTCGGTGATGAGGCTGAACCAAAGCTGCGTCAGGTCACATGACACCAGAGTAAAGCGGCAAGGCCACTGTCCGAATGGTAAGTATGCCCAGGCCAGATGCAAGTCGACACTGAACTTGAATAAGTACCAGGTCAATCAGGTGAGTACTACTAACTTACTATCTGGGAAGGATGATTCATACTAGTGCGTCGAATCAGCAATCTAGTACTTGATTTCAACTATGCACAATGCACAAGTACTAAGCAAACTGAAGCCAAGCACTTTCCAGCTGCTCAGCTCAGATGGTCTCGCTGTATCTGGACTCCCAAGCTCTGCTTCGTGCTACTAACTAGTAGCAAGTTGTTATGTGCAGACTGCTCCTGGATTGCTGCTCCCCTTTCGACCCATCCAATCACCCTCGACTTCGTACCCAGAACACCACCTCCGGCCCTAAACCTGCCTCAGCACGTTTCAATGGGACCCCATGCCCTCCGACCTTCCATTTATCCATCATCACATATGTAACTCACCTACCACCCTCCACTCGGCGCCGCCGCACCACCACCAACGCTACCCGCCACGCTACCTCCCCGTCCCCTGACTCTGCCCCCATCTAGCTATCCCATTATCACTCAAATTGCTACCCATGACATTATGTCCCGCATTCCATCTTCCATTCGGTGGAGTGGAGGGTTGACCCCCTGCTGGTCTCCCTGCGGC